CTTCCCACGTGTGGTGAGGGATGGGAGTTCATTACAGCAAAGCATGCTGAGAGTTGGCCTGTTGGTAGGACCACAAACTCTATCAGGACTAAGTATGCGGCCGTGAGGAGGATGAAGAGCTCTACTGGAAATCCAAACATGCCGGAGTACGTGAGTATGGCCCGGCTTGCCCACAAGCTGATTGGTGAAAAGGCAAATCTTGGTACTGCAGAGGAGGACTTTGATATCACTGAAGGCTATGCTAAGAGTGAGGCTGTAGCAGGTTTAACAGCACTGTCTTCTTCYGGGGCAACTACTACAGCTGCAATTGCCGGATCGAGTGCCGGATCGATGTATGGAGATTGTGAGGATACGGAGGACCAGGAGCAGCAACAGCGTGAGCGTGAGCGAGAGGAGTATCATGTTGCTACTGTTGCTTCCTCTGCTTCTGCCAGTAACTTGACCCCTTCTCTTGTTGAATCTACCCCAGCAAAGAAGAGATCTTACCAGCATGGACAAAGGAAAACTGGTGTCCCCGACGCAGCCGTATTCAATGAATACATTATGAAGCAGGAACAAAGAGAGGAAAGAAGAGACCAACGCAGTGTTGAGATGTGGAGTGGTGTAAAGGAAGTGGCAGAGAAATTCCTTGGAGCAGCTCTTASCATGATGAATACCTGGCAACAGCAACAGCAACAACAACAGTCTTACCATGGTCCTCCTCCGACGTACCAGTCCCACTACTACAGTCCTCCTTCAGTTGCATCGACTGCAGTATCGTCAGCTGCTCCGCCGCCTGCTTCATCATCGAACAAACGCAAACGCACAGGAGATGAACAACAATCCCATGGTGAAAACAAGCACCATGGTTAACAGATTACATTAGACTAAATTAACTAAACTATACGGCAGTATCTGTATCTTTCCTCATACAAAACAATGAGCTTCAGCTTGTTAGTAGCGTTGTTAGCGTGGTCTCTGTAGCGTCTGGTACTTATCCACTAAGCTTGCTGATGAAGGTTTTCTTGTGAAGGTTTTCGCGTACTCCAATGCGGGATTAGAACTGTTTTGCCTGTATCGGCGCGTGGGAAGTCCCACGAAAACGGTTCGGATCGGCATGCACATGTTGTGTATCATAAACTTCTTTTCATTACAGTATAACACGAAACTTTTATTCATTACAGTATAAATTGGTATGTAGTCCATCATTTGTCTCTATCAGCAAGCGCGGAAGCCAGGTCACAGGGGTATACATGAAAACCCTGTTTCCGCACCAGCTACTGATCCCCCCCCCCTCGTGAACAGTTCATAGTCCTTCCTGCAAGCAAACAGTAGAAGCAAACAYAGTGTTGCCGTAAGAAAAGTAACCATTGCATCCTTTCCACCATGGTGGTGCTCGTATCTTATTGTGTCGTGTCGTGTTCTTGTTGCTTGTATCTCGTCGGCGTTGTTTTGTACCGTATCGRACTATCGTATCGCGTCCAATTTGTTTTGAAAATGAAAAAGAACACTGCAAGCGTCGTTGTGCTSTATCGATCCTTGCTAAACTGTCTTCTTCCGAACTAACAATTCTTTCCGCTTCACCATGGGATTTTGTTAAGAAAGAAATACTCCATTTCCATCTGCAGAGACCTGGCGTCCTACATGAAAGTATCCTCCAGCAAGGTCATTCCTTAACTCTTCATGAGGAATCGAGGGGTCGGTGGCCTGAAACTTGATAGGATCATGTTGTGTCCTACATAACTACACTGGTAATTGTACAAGTTGATAAGGAGATTCATGATAATCTTTCTTTCCCCCTGCTCCTCCAAGCACATCCTGTCTTTGATTCTAGGGAACTGTCCCTGRATCATKCGCATTCCCCATTCCGACATCTGTCTCAATGAGGTTGCATCCCTGTTGAGGAGTATCCGGTCTGCTTGATATGGGTCCTTCTGTGAGCTCTTGATGAGGCTATYCTTGTATTCTTTCAGRGCGAATGCAGAATCCACCACAATCTTTCCACCACACTCTTTATGGACGTCCACAATCCTTTGATACACACCATGCTCRGCAATGGCGCTRTCATGCCATGCCCCAGGGCAGTTGTAAACTGCTATACGGATCTTTCCATCAGGGGCAAAGGCAAATACACTGTTGACGTACGTGTTCTCCTTCCATGCATTGTAGAATGGTCTTTGTTTCAACCAGTCTCCAGAGGTTTCAATCACTTGCTTGAGGCCATCAGCAGCTCCCCAGACGCGTTGTTCCCCAAGCCTTGGATACTTCTCTCCAATTGCCTTAACATAAGCATCAACTTCTTCHGGWGATGGGACTTTCACCATGGCCTCYGGATGCTTGTGGAGAGCAACAAGCATCACTCTCMTTGCAAATTTGAGCCACTTATACATCACTGTKGATGTTAAGCCAAAGGCAAACGCCATTGACCTTGCAACTGATCCTCTTGTCCTGTACCAGTAAAGGACTAGGCCTATTGCACAGACTGCATCGACCTCCCTTTTCTTCCCTTTAGGCTTCCCACTGGCGTAACAAGGAATCTCCACGATCTCATTGTTCTTGTTCACTGTGTACTTGTTMCATACTGGAGCAAACAGGTCAACAAGCTCCCTGAAGACCTTGTGGTCTACACCACAGCAGTTTAGGAGAGCTTGGTCATCCCCTGAGTGAAACATGTACAGGAAAGGGGAAGCGTCGTACCTCCTGATTGCAATCCTTGGGGTTCTCCTGTCCCTCCTTCGGCGCTCCTCTGGAGACAGTTTGCTTTTGTAGCTCTGATGCTCTTCCTCAGACTGCAACTGGAGGTACCAGTACATGGTGATCACTTCTATTAATCCCATTGTC